GTGCGTGCGTGCGTGCGTGCGTGCGTGCGTGCGTGCGTGCGTGCGTGTGTGTGTGTGTGCGTGCGTGTGTGTAATTGTAAACATTGGACTTGAACAAATAATAAAGCCAGAAATGAGAGCAGCAGAGAACTAATAATATATTTCAAATAAAAGCTATTCCTTTCAAAGCTGTCTCTACAAGTGAGATCCGCTCATTACCATCAGTCCTCAAACCGTTACATAGGCAATCTATAGAAGTGTACATACTTGTATATACAATGGCAATTATATACAGGGTATCTCGCGAGACTTCTCCAATCTCGCACTGGAAAGTCGATAGAAATAGGTACAAATACTGTTTAGAGATTCTCGCAATATTATATAGATATTAATTTTTTAAATTATATTAATAAGAGCGCGTTTTGAGGAACGCTCGAAATATAGCCCGGCCCACTTTTTCAAACATCGGCTGCACTGGCAGCGCATTAGAAAGGCGAGAGGGGAAGCGGATAAGATCATCTTAATTTATATAATTTTTGATCTCTCTTCGAATATCCTCTATCTCCAAGGTATTTCTCGATCTTATCAGTTTATCTCCCTACTCCTTTCTAGTCTCACAATCAGTGTCCTTTGGTTTTATGTATGTTCACTCAGCATGCTTTGTTTGATCCTTGTTTTACCCTTTATACATATATACAAGGTGTTTAGAATTTAAATGGCCGAACTTCGGGAGCGTGTAGAAGATCGATAACTAAGAAAAAAGTCCTGTAGAGTTATGCTCGTTTTTGCTTGGTTTTTGAGAAAATCGCAAAAATAGGACAAAACATAGTTTTCATTTTTGTACTTTTTTGTTACTTACTTACGTTGTATTTATATATGTGCGGGTGTATACGCAAGCGTGCGTGCGCGGTGCGTGCGTGCATGTGTGTATCTATGCGATTGACGACAAATAAATTTTCTGCTTTAGGGCCTCCCACACAAAAAAGTGTCATCAACTTATTCTTATTAAATTAATCTTGGTATAATTAATTCTGCGATTAACTCGCAGAAGTGCCAACAGCAGTTTAATGTATCCCTCCTCTCTCTTCCTCTTTCGAAATAAACTGTGTTTAGTTCTCACGTTGGCAATCGTGATGTTTGAATTAACAATCGATTAGCGTTAATCGGAGTTGGTGGAAGAGGCCCTAACTCTTAACCGATGTTTAACTTATTCCTTATCTTTTATTCCTAATTCTCTAGAATTGAAAAAAGATAAAAGAAACAAGAATCTTGATTAAGAATTAACCATGAGTTGAAAAACTGTGCCTAACTGAAACAGTAAATTATGTTCGACAACTGTCAGAGTTCATGTCAATATAGTATGTAACACACAAATAGCAATACATATGATTTTGATAGACTTGGCTATATCTAGGCTGTATGATTAAAGATTATTTTAATAGTAACATGAACACCTAGTTTCGCCTCATAACCTCTCCTTCTAGTACCAATTAGATTATAATTCAGCCTTGTATTAATTTTATAGAAATATTTACTCACCTTATATTTACAGTCTTCGCCACCAGAAACTATCAATCCATTTGTCGAATTCCAACAAGCAACCAATATGAGATTATTATGTGCGTGCCACTGAAATTAAATATATTATAATATATTATTTTATTTTATGTTATTCATTTTATATATTTGAAATAAAATAATTATGATTTGAAATAAATTATTTATGATAAATGTAATCGGCCAAGTGACGGTCAAGCAGGATTTTGATTGCTAATGTAATGCGTGAATTTTATTTACCACGTATGTAGTCCCCTTAATCGCGTGCCGAAATTTTTTCAGACTTACAACGCAACTCTAAACAACTACCGTAGTAAAATCACTTAGTTAAATTGACAAGCAATCTAACAATTTTTGATGCTTATAGCATCTTTTTGGATCTTAATAATATGTTGAAAGACATATTAAAATTTTAACGATGTAATGTTAAAGTAATGATAAATCGAAAAAAATTTCGGCACGCGATTAAGGGGACTACATTATACGTGGTATAAATAAAATTCACACATACATTAGCAACCAAAATCCTGCTTGACCGTCACTTGGCCGATTACATTATCATATTTACTTGTTTTTCAAATCAACGGTTCAACACAAATCGTAATTTTATAAATTATTTCATTTTCAAGAATCAGTCCCGCATTTTTATGCACCCAGCCCCGCATTATCTAGAGCCGGCCCTAATTTATGTCCTATTTCTTTAATTGCGTGCAGTCTCCTTGCATGCATGATGTACACATGTACAGACGCTGCATGTACGCACGTACGGACAAATAAATAGACAGGAAAGCAAATAGATATTAAATATACGAAGTTCAGTAAACCAAATAGTTTATATAATAGATTTATACATTTATATATAATAAAATGTTATGAAGAAATAAAAAGAAGTGATAGCGCTAACTGTAGCATTAAATATTATACAATATAATATAAACGAAAAAAGTTAAAAGGACGTTGTAAGAGTCAAAAGAAATAATTTAAAACAACAATTAAAGAAAGAAAAACGCATATATGTAATAAAATAATTTCAACAGAAAAAATTTATCTTCGAAGCTGTACATTAAAAATTAACAATATAAAAATACTTGTTTAAAATTCGAAGATGTACATTACAATATGTAAATTGAAATAAAAAATATTCACAATATACCTTATACGGTTTTGAATTTGAATTAAATGATTGAAGAAGCAAATTTCCACCTTGAGCATATAATATCGTTGAGCAATCAGGACTCCAGCTTGATGTTAATATAGGAAGACTTGCTTTCACTAACGTTGATCGAAGCATACCACTGCGAGACCAAACCTTAATTAATCCATCCTCACCAGCTGCAAACAAGATTATTATATATTTTAAAATCAGAAGTTCTGAATTTTGATGCAACGGATATCCGGTAATTATCCGGTTATTAATAAGTATAGAGGCCTAAGAGCTGTAAGTTACGTTTGTTAACCTTTAATAATCTCTTAATATGAAATAAAATAAATACAACATACGTTCGACACATAATTCGGTTATTTTCAATGTCGTTTAAATAACTACCTGAACGCGGTCACATTCTAAAACGTAAATATTTTGTAAAGTTACTAATAATTAGTAATTTTAATTAGTAATTAGGTAGATAGTAAAGTAAAAATGATTACTGCTTATATGTTACTTTGATAATTATCTAAATTATACATCTTAAAAGATCTATTACTTCACTGTAAGTATATGCAATCATCGATGTCAATTTTATAGTTGTAGAAATCCAAATGTTAAAATTATGTCATATCGTTCGTTATTTTTAATTGCAATAGTCATCAATCTGTTATTAGTCTCGTATCTTGATATCAAACTCAGTAATAAAATATTGAAAAATGGTTTAATAGATATTGGTTAGATATTAAATGTATAGCGCATATTTATAAATGATTTGTGCAAAAAATTCTCTTTTTTTACTATAAGCCTTTTCCTGCGCGCGCTACGCGCGCGATTCAGAATTATAGGGGATACACAAACAAATCTGGAAAAGTCCAAACTGGTTTGTTAATCCCCCTAAAATTACAACGTAGGTTCTTTCTTTACTTAATTTTTTAAAAAATTTAAGCATTTATACATATCCTTAAAATTTTTTTCCGGATTTGTCTAATTTATGAGATTATCATTTGTTTTTTCCTTTTTTTCCGTTAGTTTTAATTAATTGTCTTCATTTTAAATTATTGATTTTCGTATTTTTTTTTTTTTTTATTTTTTCCCCGCTTTTTGAAATAGTCATGAAGATAGTTTTCGTCTTCTTTTAATCTTATTCAGTTGTTCTTCGTTTTTTTTTTTTTTGACATTTTTCATTCGTATATTTTTTCGAAAAAATCATTAATTTAGTAAAATGAATTCTCAAGCAATCGATACGAACTCGAAAAATAATCACTTTTTTGAACTTCGAAAAATAATCACTTTTGGGGATGTTACAATCTTTTTTTGTGTATAACTTTTTTTGGAGGGTAGACAAATGAAAATGACGGGTGGACAAACGTGGACAAACAGTGGACAAACGAATGCAATAATAATTTTACCAATATTCGCATTTAGAGGTTCCAACTTCACAAAGCAGCTCTGTGATTTAATTCAATTATCTGTTACATTTCTAGTTTTAAACAACAATTTCATGATATACCTGTCAGTAATGCAGAACCATCAGTACTCCATCTTCCTATCGTAGTAGCACCTTTATGAGCATCAATACTTTTTTCGATGCGACCATTTTTATTAATTAAATGGTATTTTCCTAGAAAATATTATTGTAAAAATGTTGCTTTCTATAATAAATATTTAGAAAAATGTGCACATTTTCAACCGTGTAATTTTTTCGAAAAATTAATAAAGGGAAAAAGGCAGCTTTTTTACATAAACTATTTATTGACGCAAAATTCGTATTTAATTAAAAATTATATAAATAAATATAGAAAAAGTATTCAAAAAATGTACCGGATATGTTTCTCTCAGACCACCCGTACCACCCTTTTTCTTCGTAGAATAACATCCAATCGAAAAAGTGTTCAGATAAAAGTTGTAGGGTTTAAAGAAATCAATTTACTGATTTCATCAGTTTTATCTTGGATAACGTCGCCAAGGTTAGGTCAAGGTCATATATGACAATTAAATTTGAATTTTTCTAACCTGACTTGGGCTATCGGAATTTGTAAATTTCGCGTGTGCTATCGCATCGTGCGCGAACGGAATCCTCGTTACGCGCATACAAAGTACAAGCCTAGAACGCACAATTCAACACGGAGTCTCGGAACAAACAAAAATTTTCTATATTCTTAATACATCTTTTGTGGAAACTTTCAAAGCAACCTACATAGCTAGGAAACGAATTACTACACTAATCAGCCTGATAGATAGTGTTATTATATCTTCACATCCTAGTTTTCACAAAGAGAATTTTGATATCATTATTAAAATTCTTGCGGTAAATATATATCTACATTTTAGGTGACACCGACTTCATTATTTATGATATACTAAAATATCAGACTATCTCTGATCCTGACGAAGTGAACTGCAATGTTCACGAAACTTGGTTGGTATTCCAAGAATAGAGATTTGGACACGGAGATAAACCCGCGAAATGCATAGTTTTTGTATAGAAAATACCCGTGGAAGTTTCAAGAATAATTTATATATATATATATATATATATATATATATATATGAGGGTGAATCAAATATAAACAAAAATTTCGCTCTGGAGTCTAGAGAAAGTAAAGTAGGACGATACAAAATTAACGTTTTGATGCGGATGTCTCGGGTTCGGGTCGGTACGGCGCAGTCTGCAACAAGATGAGTGAGAAAGAGGTTCATCCGTCCGTTGCGTAACGGATTATAATTAAATTTCTGACGGAGGGAGTTTGGCCTGTTGAAATTCACCGTAGATTACGCTAACAATTCAACCCTCTTACAGCCCCGTGTGTTCTTTTGGCACAAGATTTTCTCTGGAGGACGAGAGAGAATCGAAAAATGAGTCACGATCGCCGTCCCAAAACGAATCTAAACGGAAGACAATACTCGATCGTGCGATTCGTGACCTTCTGGAGACCGATTGACGCATTGTGTGCCAACTTCTTAACGAAGTTAAGACCATGCTTATCGGAAAAGACGATGCCAGCCAGCCACTATCAGAGACGCTCCACGATGACGCTCGGTCACACAGATCGGCGAATCAAACGCATCAAAAATTGAAGCAAATTTCTCGGGGTTGCACATCCCCTCCCTCCCTTACAGTCCAAACTTAAGTCCATGTGACTTTCACATGTTTGGACCCCTGAAAGAGGCGTTGAGAATAACGAAACGTTTTACGGACGACGCAGGAGTAGAGGCCTTGATCGTGCGCAATTGACTCACACACTTCCACCTTCCTTTTATAATAACGCATAAAGAAGCTTCCAGTCAAACGGAGAAAATGCAAAGCAGAAGATTACGTAGAAAAATAAAAAATGTCTTGTATTTTTATTTCATATAAATAAATTTTTAAAGGAAATTTTCGTTTATATTTGATCCACCTTCGTATTATATTATATATATTATTGTATATAGTAATATAATAATATAATTAAAAATATATACAATAACATCTTTAATTCTGAATATTTTCATAATTTTTAATTGAAATGCTTTATGCGTATTGACAAAACAGAATGATTTTAAAGCGCTATAGGCAAAATACTAATGCAGTCCACGAGTTTCACGCGCAACTCGAGGACGTACCCTCTTGAATGGATGCACTTGAGACTATGAGAATAATTCCCGATTTCAAAGAGAAATTATTTATCGTAATTTTATCGAGTATATTCTGATACTAATCAATATTTATTATTTTAGCAATAATAAGATTGAATTAATTAATACACGAAAAACATTTTATTGAGAAATCAGTAAAATGTATCTACATTAGATACGTTGAATCAATGTTGAACCAACGTTTGTAAGACATAGATTTAATGGACAACGTTTCAGCAATATATTTTCAACATTGAACCTACAATATTGATACAAATTCGTAATATTGCAATTTAACGTTTCTGAGATGTTGATTCAACATTAGTGTGTTACGGGTATATTAATTACAGTTTTATTATTTATGATTATATTTTTCAATGACGTACCATCAGCTGTAGTAATTAATAATACATCTAAAGATTTTTTAACAGAGGCAGTATGATTAGGACGTGGATGCCACTGCATATCGGTAGGATAGAAATCACCAGAAAATTCTGCCACAATAGTGGAATGTGCAATTCCGCCTTCTAAATGCCAACGTATTAATAAATGATCTTCCCTAGAAAATAAATATGATACGTTAATGGATCTTATATTCATATGAGTAAAATTTTACAAAAAAATTTTTTTAATTTATGAATTAATTTATAGACTAATTTTATTCTATTAAACATTGAACGTTTACAATAAAAAAGAATCCAATTAAGTGATACAAGTTTATGTTTTAGAGCTCAAATACAGAATAAGAAATATCAAACTGAACATAAGAAATAAGAATCATCAGGATTGGGTAATAACTAAAACGTTCAAAATTAAGGACTTAATTTAGTTAATTTTAAATGTATTAATTTGTAACTTAATTTAGTTACTTTTTTAAACTTTAATTTATTAATTTTTTTGTAATTGAAATTATTTTCATTTCTTTCGACAAAAAGTTTCTTATAACATGATATTTTTTAAAAAATATTTTAAACAAGTATTCTTTCCTTATAACATCTTTTTTTTATTATTTATTAGAACTGTTTGATTTTTGTGACATATACGCTTACATATTTTTAATCGAAAAATTAGATAATGAAAATTTAATAATTATTTTTAATTTAATAATAATTTATTATTAATTTTTACATATGATACTGCAATATTATCAGTATTCTGTATTTTATGATAGTTATATCATATAACTCGTATGTGCATAAAAAAATTAAATTTACCGCTAATAATCTATATTGTAATTGTTATATTTAAAATAATTTCATTTTAAGAAAAGTTACATTTTAATTTCAAAAATATTTTTTTCAAAATTAACTTTTTTTTAACTGAAATTAGAATTCAATCTTAATTTAACTTTAGTTAAAAGTTAATTTTTTTTTTCTTCAACTTTTAACTTAATTTTATTAGCCATTAACTTCAACTTAATTTAGTTTTAAAAAAATATTAACTTACCCAACCTTGAAAATCATATTATATTGTATAAACAATAAAATCTTAATGTATAGTGTTCTATAGAGAGCACAATATTAACAAGTTTAATTTATTATATGTACTTTGAAACTTGAAAAGGATCCGAATTTGGATCGAAACGTTGTTATTGTCAAGATACATATATAAAGCATCATTTCAACTCACACGAACAACCAGTGTTCTGACTCGATAAGACATTTATCATTTTTCTTGGCTTTAAATTTTACTAAATTTCATAAATTGTGTACTATAGTATCTCTAAGTACCAATAAGTATTATTATATATTAATTCTTATCATTAAATTTTGTATCTTGATTACTTTTCTAAAATTATGAAGTATTGCATACGTATTATTTTCTTATAAATGCTTCTGTTTCTAATCTATTTCACAATTCTACTGATCAATATATAAAATAATTATCAACTATTAATAACAGTAAAGAGAAATAATTGATTTTGTGTGTCAATTTAGCACATTATTTTAAATTAATAATTTCTATTGCACCTTACCCACAAGAATAAATTTCTTCTGTTGAATTCCATGCAACGCAAGTGAGTAATCTTTTATGTCCATTATCTTCTTGTACAGATATTTTGAATCTCATTTTAAACTTTTCGTTGACACTCTTTTAATAAATTATTTGTACACCTTTATGATATTTAATAGAAGCAAAAAAAGTGCAATACTTAAATTTCGTAAGTAATAAAACAATAATATAACTTTAAAATCCAATTAAAAACAAATAATATTAATTTTTTTATAAATGCTTCTGTTCCTAATATTAATAAGAGTATAATTATGTAACACTAGTAATTGAGTAACGTTTGTTGAATCATACGTTATATTATAACTGGTATAGATACATTTTGTTTATACCTTAATTTCCATGGTAACCGCATGAGAGCAATATAGGTGCGTTCAGCAGCAACTATTGTGTGCAACGGTTTAGGCTGTGGTTTAGGACTGTGGTTTAGGTTAGTGACCCTCTAATAAGAGTCTGGCCACCTTCTCCCCGGTTTGTGATTGGTCCGACATTTATCATCCATTCCCGCAAATTTCTTTAAATTTATAAACTGTAAAAATTAATAAATTCGTAAAAATTAAAGTAGAATCAATTACAATTTTTATTTTTATTATTATTTAACTTATATTAACATTATTAAATATTTTCTATAAAAACTTTTATGTAAAAAAAACGTTGCAATATGTCTTTCATAAAATAAAAACAACAATTAAGTAAGTATTATAAATAGATTGAAAATATAAAAATTAATATATTAAGAATATATAAAATTTATAAAAATATTACAAGATTAAGAAACTTTAATAAAAATTAAATTTAAATACAAATAATACAATTAATGCTTTAAAATTCTTAACAAAAAATACTTAGGTAGCACCAATAGGGAATAAATAAAGTAGTATATTTATGTAGAAAAAAATATTTCATGCATATTTCATATTATTTATGTATATTAGATATACAGTATTTATATTTAATAAAAATGTTTTTGTAATTATTATATTTAACATATATAACAAAAATGTAAACATATATTCCTTTAACGCATAATAAAAATAATATAAATAATAATATTAATCATAATAATATAATAATATTAATAATAATA